ATCTCATCAGGTTCTAAAATGGACTCTGAAGAGATTCCTTCCTGCGAGACAATGGTGACCTCTGTTGTTCCCTCCTGTTGGTACCAGCCATGATGCTGTTTTGGCCTTGTGTCACGCACTGTTTCAATAGTGTACTTTGAAACAAGCGGGCAGGTACTGAGAAAATCTGGGCTGAAGTGTTGCATTCAAGTTTCTGTCCAGGAAAGGATGTGTCTATTCTGCACTCTGCTTAAGAAAATTTTCCCTGCAGGTTTCGTCTCAAACAGCCCCTAGTCTGGCTACCAGGTTTTCCAGTTCATAGCTGTGAATCACTGCAGGAAGGAGCAGTTGCAAACATTTTAAGCCACAGTGCAGTAATAACACCTGCAATGTATTATGAGAAAAAGCTACAGGTATTATTATAGAGAAGGAAGTTGGAAGAAATAATAGCCTGTTTTGAACAGATTCAATTTCTAAAACTGGAGCTGAGATTTTAAAAAGGTGTTAGGTGGCACAAATCTTTGTGTTGCCCTAAGATGCTTTTAAAAAAATTTTCGGTGTACTTTCACACTTCAGTGACTCAGACTTCATAACTCCAAGGATATTTTCCCTAACGCAAGAGAAACTTCAATAGTTTTAACTGCTTTCTTTTTTGACCTCTTTAAATTGCTGATGTGAAGACATGAGCTGACATAGTTTGGAAACTGACCCCTCTCTCTCCAAAAAATTCTTTCCAGGCAAACTTCTCTACTTTTTCCTTGGATTTCTCCAGACTAATGATCTCCTCCATCATCTTCTACCTGTGCTATGGTCTCTAGAGTGTCTCTATCACAGTGACACGTCAGTAAAGAAACCCCTCAAATTCAGATGATTGGTAAAGAAGAAGGATGGAGAAGAATAAATGTTGTGTTAGAAAACAAATCCATTTGTGATCTCCTATAGCTACCAGTGGATGAAAAAAAATGGGGAACAAAATTCAGTTCAGCTACAAGACTTGTAATTGTGTTGGCTATTCTGGAATGTCTCACACAGAAAGAATATTTTTAAACCAAAACTGGCTTCCAACTACTCTAGAAATATTTTTTGGCTGCTTTTGATGCCATCAAACCTACAATGGGTTTGGATGCCTTAATTTTCCTATGAATTAAGAAATACATCAAAACAAGAAAAAAAGAAAAGAGTCACAAAAGACTTGGGTGTGACTAAAAAGTCTCCTGAACACGGGCAGCAAGAAAGAGAAGTTTTGCCCAGGTTTCCTGGTGATGTCAGCCCTTGAAGAGCTGAGCACTGCACTGTTTCCTTTCAGGTTTGTTCTAGCAGGGAAACAGAAGAGCAAGTGGGAAAAGTGAGGGATTGCTAAGGGCAGTTACTGGGATGAGAGGAGGAACCTGCAGTCAGATTCCTGACTGAGCATGGGCTTGTTCATACAGAGGTGGGAAATCAACAAAGGCATCTTCTCCACTACAACCACCTTCACGGGAGGTGACAGACAGCAGCACCTTCCATCTTTGCTTCTGCACCACCACACCAAAGTGCAATCACACAGCTGACAAAGAAACCGAGAGGAAGACTAATGTATCCAATTTCTTGAGACAGAGGCATTTCCAAAAGAGGGCCAGTGGAAATTCTCTTTGTTGCCATTTGAGAAGAGGCTGAGAAAGCCAGCACTCTTCATCTGGGAGAAGACTGGGGGGAGTGTGAGTGTCTTAGCATTGTGCATAAAACACAGTGAAGATGAGGGAGCCAAGCTCTTCTCAAAGAGAAGAGCCTGGTTGCACAGGCAGGTTGTGGAGTCTCCATCCTTGGACATGTTCACAAACCAAGGGCACAAAATCCTGGGAGCCTGCTTGAGCAGGGCAGTTGGACCAGAGGAGCTCCACGTATCCCTCACAACCTCAGCTGTTCTGTGTGATTCTTTGGTTTGGTTTGACTCCTGAAGTCTCTGAGCTCAACCCTGATGCTGACTGACAAGGATTCTGGGGCAAAGGATGATCCCAAACTCCTCCCTTAGGATCCATCACCAAACAGCATCTCCCCAGTCCAGAATATCATAATACAGACACAGTCAGAAGAGACAAAAGATAATTTTTTTCTGGACATCAACTGCAGGGTGTGGAGGGAAGCCCAGGAGTCACAGGGATTCAGACAGTAACAGGAAATTGGCACCTCCAACAACACAGTCAGAGAGCACTTGATAAAACCACCAAGGCACCACAATTTTGCAAAAGCGCTCACTGGGTAGAACCTCAAAACTTCAAGGGTCACCACCCCCTGGGGTTTTACCATTTTATAACTGCAGGGGAAAACTGTTTCCCCCCACCACACTTGCTTCCCCTTTCCTTCGGAAACACAGCTGACAAAGAATTGTGTATGGCCCAGAAGAGAGAGCTATTGCTTTTTAACCACTACCCTTTAGGTGCAACCATGCAACTAGTTCTTTATCCACTGAATGGTCCACCCATTGGATCCATCTCCAATTTAGAGAGAAAAATGTTGTGGGGAACTGTGTGAACTACAGAAGTCCAGATAAATGACATCTGTAAGCTTTCCCTTGCCCACTGATGCAGTCACTCCATCATAGAAGGCCACTAGGCTGGTCAGGCAGGACTTGCCCTTGGTGAAGGCGTGCTGGCTGTCCCAGATCACCTCCATGTGCTTCAGCATAACTTCTAGGAGGGTTTGTTCCTGATCTTCCCAGGCACAGAAGTGAGTCTCACAGGTTGTTAGCTCCTAGGGCCCTCCTTCCTACCCTTTTTGAAAATGGGTACGTTTCCCTTTTTCACAAGCAGCTGCAATGACAAAGTACAAAAGATCTGTCATATGACACTTAACATAAGTTCCTAATGTCCTTGAGAAATACCCTTTTTAATGCTCCTCTTTGCCTGGGAACCAAGAACTACCACTTTGCAATGCATAAATCTGTATAGATGCTGATTCTTGCAAACATGCAGAAAATACATATCAGCAAAGTGATAAATCAGTTCCCCAGAGTACAAATCGGCCATAAAAAAGTAACCTAAAAATAATCAATTCAAAGTATTTACAGCAGATGGAGCTATACATTTTGCTTTGATCATATGTTACATGATATTCCAAGATAAAGTGTACAGTTTGACAAGGATTGTGGCAAGTTAGTGGTACTGTCTCACCAAGGAATGGAGTTAGTCACAGAAGGCATTTCATAAACTGCTGCAATTAGCTTTCCTGGAAATAATCCTTGTACCATCAGTAGAAATAGCAACTCAAGAAAAGGTTATCACTGTATATTGGTGTCTTAATAGAAATCACAGCTCAAGTCTGTGTATCTGTATCTGCTCACCGATTTGAAGGTTCTCCTGACCCTGCTGGCTTTTGTTTACCAGCCAGGTAAAATGAGCACTGAAGAGAGGACAAAGTTTTCTTTATACACTACTAACCAGAATCTATGTGTGATGTCCACAGATTATCCCTTGGAAGTCTGGGTTCCTGCATAACCAAAGTGCTTACTCACTGTATGTATACATGCACAGGGTTCCTTGTCTGAAATGAAGCCTGTTCTTGTCTTTATTGCTGCCAAGATCCAGATGGATGTGTTTCCCATGCTGCATTTGCATCATCTTTAAGCTACAAAAATTTTGATTACACACCAAGGGTAAGGGAGATTATTTTTGCAGTTTGTAACAGAATTACTTTTATCCCAGAGTAGTTAAAAGAAATCTGGTACAATTCCTGTCCTATTATGTTTGAATTTGAACTAAAGTTTGGATCTTACACTGCTGTAAAAGCTTACTCTGCTTCCACATTCTGAGATGACCCATCTTGCCTATTTGAACTTCACACCCTCCACTCCCCAGTCCACTTGCAAATTCCTAACCATAGTGTCAGTTGCAAAAAAAATAATCCAATTTAAAAAAAAAATCACAACATTTTTATTCTCCACCTAATTGTCATTCATGACACCAAAAAAAGCTACTGGTTTCAAACTGTATTTACAGATTTTAAAGTTATGGTGATGAAAAGGTGATTGATGCCCCATACCTGGAAACATTCAGATGAGACTGGAAAGAGTTCTGAGCAACCTGATCTGGTAGAAGGTGCCCACTGCAGAGGGTTGGACTAGATGACATTTAAAGGTCCCTTCCAGCCCAAACCATTCTATGATTCTGGAAGTCTGCACTGCTAACAGGACTGGACCCTAATATTCCAAATTCTCAACAGCATAATGAATATCCTCTTACTGCCTATGCTTAGGTGTGGGGGAGGATGGTCCTACAGGCAGGTACCAGCTAATCCATGAGTGGTTAGAAACACTTTGAAAGCATGTGGGATGATTTGATTTTGTAGCAGGATAGAGGAATATTTACAATTCCTAATGCATGAAACTTTTAGAGAAGAAGCATTCCTGCTCCTTTCTCCATATACCATTTCCTTTCTCTGTGTTTATCCAATTTAGATATATTTCTCAGGAGACACATCATGGGGCTGAATCCGATGGTATTGCAACTCTGTTGTACTTTATTTTCCTTTTCATAGTAAATATGAATGGATACTGCAACTAGTAATTTACTAATCCCCAAGTCTAAACATGGACATAGAAACAGTCCAGATAAACTGAATTCTAAGAACAGTAACTAATTAAGCACAACTGTTTTTGTAATGTTCCCCATGGCTTGCCTTTATAATGCCAATTTCTATGCATTAATAAATTAATAATTCTTCACCTTTATAAAAATTTAAAATGCATCTGTTTATTGACCAGAATAAAAGTTTAGATTCTTCCTCTAAAATGAAAAGTCACTTTTTGGGTAGTTGGAAAACAACATACTTTATGAATTTGCCATGTTTACTCTGCTAAAAAGTGAATATAATTTCTGGGCATGAAAATGTATAAATAGATAAAAATAATATACACAATAGATAAAATATACAATAATAACAATGAATAAATTAAACAATTAGAACTAAATGGTGATCTCCCCTAAACTATGTTTTAAGGTATTTTGTTGTGAGAAAAAGGACAAACCCACAGATAACAGATTATATACAGGAAGCCTGTCCATTTATTTCAAAATTGGAGATTTTGTAAAATAAATTGGAACTATTCACTAGTAAATACTATTCTTATTAAAGCATAGCAGTTTCTAAAAACATTTGCTTTTTTAGTGTACCAGCTATACATAAGAATATAGTTCTTTCTCACAAAAATTAGCTTTGAGCAACTAGTGCAAACATCCAATACAAACCTGACTGAAAGTGTTAAGAAATGTATTTGAAAGTACATGAAAACGCATCTCCTTCAGTGTATCTGGAAACCACTCAAATCCTTCCAGCATTTGTTCTCATTTAAAAAAAAGTGATTATTCCTCACCACTTGCCAAAGAGGAACATGTATTTTAAATATTACAATCCTTACTTACAAATTATTTATTCAGGATGAAGTCCCTCATAAACTCTTTAGCAAACTAGCACTTTACATTTTGAACTGGAGAACTTTAACAAGAAAGGGTAAAACAGTTTATTCAGCTTTTTACAAAGCAGTATACAATAGCACAAAGTGGTATGCCTACTAAAATGTTTTGTTCAAGACAAAAGCAGAAGTTGAATTTTTTATTACAATAAAAATTCTTATTTGACTTGTGTAACTTATTTGGCATTAAAACATGACTGCATTGCTTCTCTCAAAAACTGAGCAGCATATACTTTGAAAGTCACTTGATTTACATCAAACCAGTCATTTTGAAGTAAAAAATGGTGATTTTCTGTTACAGTCTTAATCACAGCTGTGGACCAGGACCCCCCTGTACAAACTGGTCCTTGGACACACAGCAAATCTATTCTGTGAATCAAAGAGATTCCAGGAAGGCCCAGTGAAAGTAATGAAACCATTGGGGGAATAAAATATTACCTGGCCTGAACATAGGAGTGAAGGCAAGTGTATAGTCTTTCCTGGAATGATAGATTTTGTATTTCTCACAAAGATAAAATTATTTTTATTGGTCCTTCTAACCTTTTCATGAAGAAAAAAATGTATTAATCACTCATGGGCCAATTTTATGTTCTAGAGACATAAATGTAGATATTCCTCCCCTATGGGGAGAAAATAACTGGGTCTCATTTTCCAGTATCAGCAGCAGCAGCTGCCTGGAAAGGAGTCATTGAAAGTACCACTAAGGTGGAAGGAAGTTTACCATGTGTTACATTTAGTGGAGGAAAGAAATACCTTTGTGTTCCACAATTTCAGTTAAGATAACCCTGAAATGACTATGGCATTTGAAAAAATAAGGTTTAATTTTTTCACCCTTCGTGGGCTCTGAAGTTGTATAAAGCGATGGACAGCTAGGCCGCTCAGAACATGACTTTTCCATATCATTTAATGTGCATGTACCTCCCATCCTCCTCCACCAACAGCTTCACAATCTTGGGGTGGTGTGGGTGGGAACAAGCCATACTGTATGTCCTGTTTATATACAAACCTGGAATGTGAATGATCCTAAGTTGGGCAACTGCAAATTATTGTTATCAGTGGTGTTCCGAGGGAAAGAATTGGAAGTAATTTACCTGACAAAAAAACTGCACAATGCAGAAATACAAAGAAGATAGGGGGTTTTACCTCCATTCAGATCTGCTACCTGTGGAAACAGCTCAATGGAAACAGCAGGCAACCTGTTGTCAGGGTGTGAGCTTTCAGCTGTAGGAGTTTGGAAACTTCCATGGCCATATCCCAGCCTGAAACCTCATCTTCATCTTCCAGTTATTTGTTCCCTGCTGCTGTTCTAACTTCCTCTCTTTAGAGGGTTGATCCTGCAGAATTTAGACAAACAAATGCTCTGTGTACAAGGTGAGGTAACTGAAGTGAGTGGTGTATGCTGGATTTTTGAGGGGATCCAATGCTAAGGGCATTGCACAGGCTTCAGGGACTTCCTGGCCTATATGGTTAATGTTGATTTAAGTGCCCTTGGGGCCAGGTCCTGTAGTGTGTGCTTAGCACACAGATGTGTTGCATTGACTTCCACAGAAGTAGAGGAAGTGAACACATCACTGGATGCATTCACATTTGTGCTTGGCAAGAAGGGACTCCAAGTATTTAAAGCTAGCATAAGTGATAATGCACAGTTATTATCATGTTAGATGGCTGAATGTGATACCACATGCACTGGCCAGATTAATCTCCTACAGCTCTGATTTTGTGAGGATTGTTGCAGAGAACCCTAAAGAAACCCAGTGGGTATTGCGTGGTACCCCCATAAACTCAATGGAGCATTACTTGATTAAAGAAGTTACAGTCATACTGAGCTGGAGTAAACTGAGAATGTCCAGAAGACGTAGAGGATTTAAGTGTGTTTAGACACCAAATATCACCATGTAGAAATTTCAGCCTCCGGAAGTTTTAATGGAAGAAAGTAGCTTAATCACTCAGTATATTTTGCAACTGTAGCTGAAAGTTTAACATCACAAAATAACATATTGCTATGCAACTTTAGGAGTCACACAATTATATTCAATCATTTCCCTTGCTTTTCAAGTCTGCTGTTCATTAAAAACTCTTCTCCTGCTTGCAGTTTCCAGTTTTCAAATGGATGACACAACCAATGCATAGCTTAACGTTCATTCTCATGAGTCATAATTAATAAATAATCGTATCACATACACAGAATTTTACAGGTACTCTTAAAATGGTTTTACAGTTCTATTAAATATATAGATAAAATAATCACTGCTGTATTAAAAAAATCATTTTCAAACAGCTAAACTCTCAAGCTCTGCATAAAATTCTGTAGACACATTCATTACAATCTAGAAACTCAATAAAAATACATTTTAGAGCTCAATCCCTCAAAAATATTCATGGCATTGAAAATTGATTGTCATTTTTTACTGTAATCTGTGCTTCCCCTACCATTGTACTGAAAATTTCCTACAATTTGGCAAAGGCTATATCCAGGTCAGTTTGTAGTTTATGTGACTGTTTAACTCATTTCCTCAGCTCTTAGTCATCTGCCCCATAAATGTTTTGTGGGGTTCTGTCTTTAATGGCGTATCTTTCCTTGCACTTTCTATAAAATCACAATGAAACACTTTGCAGCTAAGTTACATGACTACAATGACATTGAACCATCCTTTTATAGTTGTCAGTTGGCCTTTAATGGTGCTTCTGTGAACACCAAACATCCTTTATCCAGTGATCCTCAAACACTTCCTGTCACTTACACTTCACAATAATCTGCTACCCACATTTGCTCAAAAACAGTGGGTTTTAGAAACAGTCTCAACAGATCAGTACCCTTGTCCATCTGAATTCTGCTGCTAAATTGAACTACCAAATGTGGTCAGTTTAAGGTTGGCATTTTTCAAAAACCCAGTCAAAAATTCAGGAAAAACTTCTTTATTCTGACAGTGCACATATCTGATGGAAAATGGGTAGACAACAGACTGCCCACCAGCCTTTAAACCCCCACTACCTCAAGCCAGTTCTCTAGGCAGCAAGTCAAAACAGGCTTTGCCATACAGAATGTTTCACAATCAGGCTTTCAGACAGTAGCTCAGAACAGGCCACAAAGCCCAACAACAAGCAATGTTTTCAGAACAGGGCACTTGCATTGAGGGATTGGATCTTGGGCCGTGGAAGAAGAGATGCAGGCTCACAAGTCAATTTAAGTGGGGGGAAACTGCTTCTTATACAGATGTCACTCTGTGCAGTTCCAGGTAAAAGCAAAACTCCTGAAGAGTTCAGACTTTTCTTTCATGCACAGTTGACAGTACCAGTATCATCACTCTTAACTCTTCACCTGTGATCTTCTTACCCATGGAATGGCTGGGTAAGGTACACTGCCTCTGTTATAGCAAACCTACGACCAAACAAACCCCAAAATGGAAAGCAACATAACACCAAGTGTCATGGACTAATTTAGTATTTTTTTTTTCATCTATTTTGCATGGAAGAAGCAATCTTTGTCTCTCAATGGGATAGGATGGAAAGTGTGTATCAGCTGAAACACTGGGTGAGATGACCAAGACAACTGCTGGATGCTGTTTGACATTTAAACTGCTCATTTCAATGTTTCAGTCACTGTTCATCAGTGGGAGGTAACAAAGAAAACCTTGGGTTTTTTCCCTCTTGGATGAAAATACTGTGTAATGAAATTGCCAGCATCACTGCATTCCCACCTTTCCATTCTTCATGGATGGACAAGACATCCAAAGAGCTCCTCATCCTGATTAATAATCTTAGAAGGAAGAAGACAAAAGAGAGCATACTTTACTTGACTGAACTTTGATAGCTATAAAGTTATATGAAGAGACTGTAATCCAACTCCAGGTAACCTCTGCTCAAGATCTATAAATACGGAAGGATCAGTGAGTAAAGATACAAAGAATCAGAAAAGGTTGTCATAAACCAAAGGAGCCTGTGAAGAGTGAAACATAATGAAGAGCTGCCAACACTTTCACTCCAAACTAATGTACACTGCTACTTGCTGCCATTAAATAGATGCCATACTCCAGCATAGTATTCCTTGGTTTTAAGGATAAGGATATAATGTTTCTTGTATTAAGTTTTATTCTTTCAGAGGAAAAAGCACTAAACTTTCAATATCCTATTTTAGCCTACTTCCAGAAAGCATTTTCAAAAAATCTAATAAAGGTTTTCTTTTGGAAGAAAGTATCACTGTCTTCAACAACAAGCACAAACAAGTTCATAGATCACAAAATCAGATGACTCAAAATGCTGAGCATTTTCATAGGCAAGATAAAGAATGTACTTTTTTACTTATGTTGATTTACATTGAATTAAGTTGGGACATTTGGATCTGTTCCTCACCAAGCACAGTAGATCTTATTTTTAGGTTCATGGGGTGAATCCAGATCTAGTCAGCAGTGAAAGGACAGAATAGGAAAGATTTCAGCTTTCTGTTGAAATGAATTTTATCTTCAATATTTAAGATCTCCTGTTGAGCCATATTGCTGTTGACTTCCAACTGCAGCTTAGAAGAAAAATCCCAGGGGAACAAAAAGCTTATGAAGAAGAGTGAAGTGTGATGGATGGTTAGGATTACCTCAGTAGATAAAATGACTAGAAACAGGTTTTAAATACTTGTAAATAAATTGCTATATATTCTGATGTGTCCTGATCCCACGTACTATTAGTTCATCTGAAAACTTAGCCAGGGTCGGGCTACAACAATATATGTAAAACTTATAGCCATGGGATTTAATTTTCACTCAGTCTAAAATTATGAAACCCCTCATTTTATGAAGCACTTTGAAGACAACCTTCTGAATTTTCAGGTGGAAGCAGCAACGTGATGTAGTCTCATAAAGCATACTATGGAACTAAAAATGTGTCAGTGAAAAGTAGTGACTTCACAGAAAGTCACATAGAGAAAAGTTACTGGTATTAAATTGAATTTGAAGACTTCTCTTTTGTTCTCCAAAGCATGGGTTACACCTTGTCTGGCAAAAATCCTAAATCGAATATCCTAAACTGATCACTGATGTGGACAAAAATTACAAGAGGCAGAAGTGGCTCAACTGTGCCTATGGAAAAGCCACAGGAGTCTCTTAGTTGCACTAGAAAGTCAGTGCTGGCTGTCAGCATTTCTCTATATTTAGTTTTATATCTGTCATTTCTTTCTCTATTGATTTGGACACTTAAAGGCTATTTCTAATCCTTTTACCATACACTTGTGCCTTAAGAGTAGCCTCAGCAAATTAGGTGACCTATTGTTTTTTGTATCTTCAAAAAAGACATTTTCCCATGATCTAGTAAGTAAAAGCAGCAGCGAAAATGAAGCAGACTCAGAAGCACTGAGGTACTTTTAAAACACTTCAGTTTCTGGGCTAAGATTTCCCATATGACCACTCCTGTGAAGCAGTGAGCGTGTATGTGCTTCACACTTCTCCACACCCAATTTATTCCTTCGGACCAAACCTAACAAAAGGTGCAGGGCCAAAGTGAATTTAAATCCTAAAAAAATCAAACTCTCCTACCCCAATAAACCCTCAACCTGATTTTGCTGCTCCACTGGATTTGCTACTGGAACTGTAATTCCTGATGTGTATTTCACCACCTGTAGCTCTGCTCTGTCTCCAACTCTTTCAAATAATTCAATGGAAAACGTGAAGAAGCATTTCTAGCCTTGCCCTTGCAGGTGGCCAGATCCAGAGGCAAGTCAACACCACCCCTCTTCCACAGCTGTCAGGCCCTACATAAGAAAATGAAGCCAGAAGAATAATTTTTGAAGACTAGAGCTCTGAATTGTTCATATTTCTACTGATAATTATCTGGTTTTATTTAGCATCTTATAAAGCAAGGCACAAATGTACAAAATTGCGTCTACTAAATCAGGTCATTTTTATATATATTTACACAGTTATAATATAAAACGTGCTTTGACACTGTCATAGCACAACAGTAAAGGAATTGAAGACAACCTGATAATAAACATAAATATCAGGTCCTGGATTTCTGTTTGTGCTTCACCTGAAGGAACATATTCATATGCAGATACACAAAGCAATCCAGCCACCATCCTTTATTTTTCCATACCTCACACATATCAAACTTTGTTGCTAAGAAGCTGTGGAAGGAGTAAAAGGCAGTAGATCAGCACCCAGAAGAAAATGATGAAGTAAAATAGCTCTGGCTGCTCAAAAATTGTAATCTCGTGAATTGGTGGTGGGGTCTCACTTGCTTCTGAGTCCTTTTTCTTCCTGTAAACAGGAGATAATTCAATAAGAGGCAAGTAAAAGAAGAAAAAACCTTCATTGTTAATGTTTACTGTGAAGATCAGAGGGCAGACTAACAGACAGCAATTTAAAGAACCAATTCAATCTAGTCAGCTGGAGTCCCAGCTAGACTAGGAGGGGCATAACAGGCTAAAGCAGTGTGTTCCTTCCAGAGCCAATGTACATATCAATTAATCCTCAGAAAACTCTGGACAAATTCTCAGGTAGTATAAGTCAGAAAGGTGCCCACTAGTCAGAAAGGTGCCCTTTTATTTTCAGAACAGTAAACATAGCTCTGGGCAGCACAAATCAAACTTTCACAATTTTGCTTATACACCGGATCTGACTTAATATACTTCCCCCAAATCATCTACTTTCAGAGCTACTCATGTCAGACACCTGAATATTAAACAGAAAAAGCCCAAAACTTCCAGAAACCAACTAGCAGTTGGGCTTTTCCAGGACAACTCCAAAATTTGAACTTTCTGAATTTCCAGCTGTGGTTCATAAGGGCAAAGCCCAATGGACTCTGCTGGTACCACTGAGCTCTCACAAAGACAAGAATGGGTCTTATTTAAAAAGGCACAAGATGGTACACTTGTTTTATAATTTTACAATACTATAAGAATAACCCTCTGGTTCTAATCTACTTTTGGAGAAAAATGTGTTTTGGCCTGTTTTAATGAGTCCTTTTTTATGGCATGAGGCATCCTACTTGCTCAGATATTATACTGGATATATACCAGAGTATTACCCAAAATTTGCTCAATATCAGCAATCTGTAAACAGCTATAACTGTAACAGCTATTCATGTTTTTTTTTAACAGAAGCATAAGTGAGACCAGCACAGTGGATCTTGATAATATTTTGTGTGTTTTCTGCATTTAAATATAACAATCATTTTAACTAGAAGTTCTGAGAGGTACCACTCAGTATCAGCTAAGAGGGAAAACCTAAAGCGATCCTTTGTTTTTTATAGATATTTAGTATCCAAAGGGATACACACTCTGTGTTCAGGACCCATCACCCTAGTTTAGACTAAACACACACACACACATAATCTAACAGAGGGGCCTGACCTCCACTGAACTTATTGATTTTCCCTAGCATTGACCACACTAAATATTGTCTTGACAGTCTTCCAAACATGGAAAGAGTCATCACTGCCAGAGGGCCTGAGATATCCACCAAGTGGGGAGAACACTCAGACTCTTGCTTAGACAGCTGAATCTTTCAACTAAAGTCAAGAAAAAGCATTTTAGTCAAGGGACAGATTGAGCAATAATGAACTTTCGTATCTTACGCTTATAGGAAATAGGGACTCCGAGCCACTACAGAAGACATCCAGTCAGTTGCTACCATTATAATTAATTTCCAATTCCTTTTGTAGCACTGCTAGTAGTACCTAGATTTATGGATTCCTTGCAAAAGTCTTTGAATAAGAACCACTCACCTGATGATTAATGTATTTTCACCCATATCTGTCATCTTCTGCTCATTTACACCATAGGTTTCCTTAAACAAACAAGAAATAGATTATATAACAAAAAATAAAATTCAGCATCTCACAAAGGTGGTAATTGTGTGTGTATTTTATGCAGAGTATATCTAATTGTTTGCTCAATTAAAATGAAAGTGTGCTTATAAATGTATTCCCTCTCAGCACATCCAGCACTGCAGTCTAGTATATACACACAGAAAAAGAAAAAAGTTGTGAAATAAGATTTTTTTGCTTTCAACTGCTTTCACTCAGCTGAATAAAGCTCCCCTCATTCATATGTATTTCTAATAGCTCTGACAGCGTTGCAAAACTAAAGCATCTGTGTGAAACCTCAGTTTCATTGAACATTGGTGGCAGCATTTCTTTAAAACTCCAAGATGGTCAGAATTTTATTTTTGTGCTGAAAAAAGCCATATTCCTATCCCTGCTCAGCGTGACCAGATTGCTGATAATGTCCCTTCCTTCTGACTTAAAAAGTACAAATCCAGACCTCAGCTGTATAGTGTGCTCTCAAGAAGCCAGTATGAATCACATCTGTCATTAGGGACGCAGTTTCATGTTACAACTAAAATTCTTTTAGGGTTAGCTGCTGCTACTGAGAGAATATAACACTGCTACTGTGGAGGAGAGGGAAAGAGCCCAGTTTTTCAGAAACAGTGCTCTTCAGGAGACACACAGCATTTTTGCAGGGTTGGGACCAGGGCACCAACATATATGCAGAGAATGCAAAAACTGAAAGAAACTGGGGCAGCAAGTAAAGGAAGCTTCAAAGAAGCAAAATGTTGCAGCTATACAGTTATGACAAAGCAAGATTCAAAATTACAATAGATTTAATTGTAGTATGAGGGACTCCTTTGGGGATTTGTTCAAGGGTCAGTGAAGTTCAGTTCCATGTATTTAGGAGATATAGAAGCTATGCCTGGTTTTGGCACTAGAATTATTAGAAGCCACAAGACTTGCATACTGTCACAGAGCTTTATAGAGAGAGTAGAGCTTTTTACAGTGCGTGAACTTTTGGACTTTAAGAGAAACAGAGAAACAGTGACAAATAAATTTCCACACACTTACCTCCTCAGAAGGATTATGAGACCTTTTTCGGAGATAAACGTTGGCATCATTGTCACTGGTTCTGAAATGTATGTAAAAGCAAGTTTTTAAAATTTAAATTCATAAAGGAAAGTTAAAGAGAGCCACTGCAATTGCACATGCCAGTTTTAAGCTGTGCAAAACCACAAATATGCATTGTTGCTTGTATTAGACTATGGACTCAAATTTATCAGTAACATTATAAAAACAGCTTTGGGAAAATCTGACTCATTTTCAAAATTCATATGCTCAAAAAGGAATCTTCTCTGAAAAATGCCATCTGACAGCATTTTCCCACCTTCGACATCAGCATTTCAGTGAGAATATACCCAGGTTTTATGGCATCAACATAAATTAAAAACGGACAGGGGAACAAAAACCTTGAAGGGAACAATGGGTTTTTCTAAGTAAACTTTCAAATTCATTAGAGTGCTACAGTGATAAGCATCAACAAATTGCAGCTCATGTCCCACTCCAATAAACCTAAGAATAAATTGGAACATAAGAAGGAACAGAAGTGAATGGAGTAAAATTAGCTGAGTGTCTCCGTACTGGCTCTGGCTGGGGTGCAGTTAAATTACCCCACAGCAGCCCCTATAGTGCTGTGCTTTGTACTTGTAGCTAGAAGGGCGTTGGTAAAACACATGTTTTGGCTGTGGCTGAGCAGCGCTGGAACAGCATTGTGGCCTTGTCTCCAACCCCCACCCTACAGGCCAGTGGTCTGAGGCTGGGCAAGAGGTTAGAAGGGGACACAGCCAGGACAGCTGACCCAAACTGACCAAAGGACACTCATACTTGTCATTATATCTGTCTTCTGAAGCAACCACTACGCTCTGCTTCCCAGGAAGTGGCTGGACATGACCTGCTGATGGGAAGTAGAGAAAAAATAATTCTTATTTTTTGGGGTCTTCTCCTAATTTTCTTCCACACATGGCCTTTGCTTTTTTATCATTAAAATGCCTTTATCTCGACCCACGAGTTCTTCATCTTATTTTCTCTCAACAACCTCATTTACTTGATCATAATCAGAAGAAAACACTCAAAAAATATCTATTGGAATGAATCAGTGTCATGCTTCCATACAGTGTCACAATGCACATGGATTATTTCATCTACCTTACAAAATACTCTTTCTGTTGGAAAAGCAGTTATAACACTGCCATGTTCAAAATGCACTGGGGTTCCAATTGGGCTCTGTGTAGCAAAGTGTATAGCACAGTCAAATCAAGTTCCACTGGCACTGAATCACCCGATATGTTTAAGAGAAGCACAGGAAGAAGAGAAACACAGGAAGAAGCCAATGAGTTCCAATACACTGTTTCTAAAAAAAGACTACAAGAAATATCCAATGGACAGGGCACGTTTCCAGAGACCAGTCAGATGTATTTAAGAGAAAGTTAATGTGAAATACCTGGTAAATTCCTGGCATTCAGCAATTTCTTGTAGGTTATCTTGTGATAAAGTAGTAGTGGCGACTTCTGAGATCTGCAAATCTTCTTTGATCATATTTTCCCCTTCCTCCTCCCTATTACTACTTTCTTCTGATGTCTTTATAGCTACTGATAAATCCTCTAGAGGTTCTACTATGGCCTGTTGAAGTTAAGAAACATTTTGCATTAGGCAACAAGACTGATTCTCCACCCTTCCAAATACCTTAGTGGTGTAGCCTATTCAGATGCTATATTGCAGGTAGTATGAGACTGAAACCCTCACTGAAGAGAATAAAAAAAGCAATTAATTTCTTGAGAATCTTTTTGGATACAATGAGCTATAAAGTATCACCAGTGCAACACACAATCATCATATTGACAATTGTCAGTTCTTTCTATTAAGAAGCCATGACATGACATGGGGCTTCAAAGCAATCCACTAGACTTTTTTAAATCTATCCTAAATTAGTCTTTCGAGCTACAACAAAGTGACTTCATTACTATAGTAAGTGTCAGGACAAAAACAGGTTGAAGCAACTTGTCCAAGCAACATATAGAGCAGCATTAAATGGACACTCATTCCTGAAAAACACTGTCAAAAATTACTGCACTGGAAAACGTGTAAGGCACTTCAAAATTGGTGTCTGCAAGAAGAGATACAGGAGCAAACTGTCTAAACCAAATACCCCAAAAATCTCCCCTTCTTTGTCCTCCTCCAGTGTAGACAAGCCTTCATTTTGACAAGCCTACTCAAATTGGTTTTTTAAGCTTTTGTAGGCAAACTTATTCGGATTCAGATAAAAATTGTCATTGCCTTTATCCTTTCTTTATAAGCAATACTACTTTCTATTAATCTCACTAGAAATTATTAAAAATACCCTCTCTGGTAATCTTTTATGCCTAGGGATTACAGAGAAGCCTCAAACTATTTTAAAACATAATAAAAATTCACATTTTTGCTGTACTATTAATAGGGCTTATTTTCTCTCTTAATGTCAGATCTTTTCAGGGATCTGCAATTCCATCCATTCCAGTAGGGGGCTGTGGCAAACAGTGTTATGGGACAGGAAACAAAGTATATTTTAAATATTTCTCCCGAACACTGCAAAATGAAAGCAAATGAAAACCTCTGAGGTCAGATGCTAATCCCCCACAAAGAAATGCTGGTAATAAAAAAATAAAATACCTCAAGATGTTGTGGAATAGTGGAATCTTGATCGTTGGTGGCCTTATTGCCATCTTCTTCAATTTCTAACTCTTCTACTAGTAATGGCACTTCTTTTTCATCGGAATAATTCATGTGACTGTTAATATTTGTAGTTTCCTCCTCACTGTTCTCAGTATCTGTTTCTAATGGAGGGGTGCTTAGCTTATTGTCTAAGTCTGGCTCTGGAGCATCTTCCTTGTAGTTCTGTTCTGGTAAGCTCTTGTCATGTAAAACATCTGTTACTGTTTCAGAAGAAGCTTTGTCATTTCCAGTGTCATAACCTTCGATACAAGGCTCCAGGTAAGCGTTCAGAACTGCTGATATAGGGACATTATAATGTGGATAATAAAAGAGATCATGGGGTATTACAGATACTTTGGAAGAACTGGGTAACACTTGAGCTGCAGGCTCAACTTCATCACAGCTGTCCAGGTCATCTGGAGTTTTAGGTACATCTGAGAGAGAGTCATCAGATGTTTCATGCTGTGTAGACAGTTCTTGGCTTTCGAGATTAGAACTATTCAGTGAACAAGGGCTTGATTCTATTGTGTCGAAGACAGGTGATTCCTTTGTATGTTCATCTTCTGGATGTTTCTGTATTTCCTCATTTAGAAGATGAAGAACGTACTTATGTGTATCTTCTTGTTTTGAGGTATCTTCTGGTAAAAGAACTGAAGATTGGGGTTTGCTCTCTTCTACTTTATTAATAGAATCATCTGTAAGTATACCTGAAGTCCAGGATAATGGACTCAAAGAAGAAGTATTGGCTGAAAGGCTCTTAGTTTCGTTGTCATATTCAGTAGGGGTTCCTTTAGTTAATTCTTCAGAGTATTCTTCAAAAGAGTCGACAGAATTTTTCTGATCTGTCAGAACAGTTGGAGAAAGGTCATTGTTCTGTTTCAGTTGATCATCAGAGATGCCCCCTTCACCTGACATGAATTTATCACTTAGAACCTCCCAAGAGGAACTGGATTCAAAACTGACAGATCCCGTGATTTTCAGTGAGGTAGGCCTCTGAGGCTCTTCTTCGGATGTTTCCTGTGAGTCACCTAACACTTGACTCAATTTCCCATTACAATTTTCAGCAGCGGTTTCTGAGGGGATTCTCTCAGGGATGTCATGAATATGGACCTTTGGAGGAGCAGGATGACTCCTCTCGTGATTAACAGTATACATGTTTTCTTCACTTTCACTTAAAATCAAGATTTTGCCTTCCTTTTCTGACGGTGTGTCTTTGATGTGCACATATGTGGACTCAATTGGAAGCTCCTTGTCAGGATCTGTAAAGTCTTCCTATAAGTGATGATACACCGTTAAATAATAAATCCTACCTCAAATACCATTTTACATTTCCCAAACACTATAGAAAGAATAACTACCTAACCCATCACCCCATTACCTTGTAAATGGCCAATTAATGACTCATTTATTTTGAAAGTAGGAAAACTGATTTGGCAAGTCAAGTGCCTTGAACAAAGCTCAATGTCAAGAAGCCACTTGTACAGGAAGATCAGAATGCAGACAAGCCTAATCCTCAGTTGTTAATGTATTCATCTCTCCCTGCTGCACCTGTGGAGACAACTGATGGCTTTTTGACATAATCCCAAACCCTAGGAATAACATAGATCTAACGACTCCAATAAATCCACTGTGAAATGTATTGATATATTAGATTATTTCATTCCAACAGACTGTATTAAAAGAAAGGCAGGTTTTTTCTATGTCCATTAAAATGCCAACAAGTCTTAATGTCAGCAGATCTTACTGCTCATCTAATTTAATAATAACAATTAGATTATTATAATAATTTTAATTCCAATGACTTTAGTAATGCCCACCAATTTTATCAGATACAAAATATATCCCAACTGGAACCTGCAGTTGAGAAATGAGAGGAAATTCCTGTTTCTGCAAAAGATCTTTGGCAATCCCTGGCACTGTCAGGCCCCACTTAATCCTCAACTCTTTATTTTTGCATTAAAGTCCTAGTTGTTTAAGCTGCAGTTTATTTCATGCTTACAGTGAGTGCTTTTGACTGTTGTATTGACAAGATTCAGCCTCTGGTATCTTGTGTCTCATACCTGCTAAATTCAGATTGATCATGGTCCTCAAACTTGAGAAGACAGAATTAAAAATTAAATTCAAAGTCCAATGAATCATCACAGGTGAACAGATAAATTTCAGCCTTATTTAAGGCAAATACAGCAAAGTGGTAGAGTCCTGTGAAACCAGTTCTAATCTCTGAAAGTTACAATTGGATGTAAATGTTTAAAAGCACAATTCTACCTAAAGCATTTTAGCACTCACCAACGAAAGCCTATTTCACTGGATTTAACAAAAATGCAAAAAATTAAACCCGAGTTTGTTATTTTAAATAGCTTAGAAAGAAACGCAGAAAATAAATATCTGACTTTATTAAGTATACCAAAGCAAATTAAAGAAATGTGATATAGGAGAAAACACATACCCCTTCCAGCTCCGGGAAGTGCTCCAGAAATTGTGCCACGTATGTGACGATTGACTGTTCATCAGGTGATTCCACCATGATATCTGTGGAGACAGACAAAAGGGCCTTGAGCACACATGGCTTTAAAACACTTGCAGAGGAACAGATCCTCAGACATTTATCCTGCCTTTGTGGTGAGAGAATTAACAGCTAACAAACACTTTTCTTTTTCTGACAGATAAGATAAAAGCTCTCCACTGTTGATGGCACTCAATAGAGTTCTCAACATCTTGTTCACATGTTTTTTCCTATTTTCAAACACATACCAAATCCCAATCGGGGTCCCTTTTCATCCACCTTTGTACTGTCATTTATGTTGTTGTCACTAGACAGTTGAGTGTTGTTCAGTAACAATACAGAGGCTTATTTGTGGCAGGATGGCCCAGTCTTCTGACATGTGACCCATGAAAATGCAATTGGGTTTTGAGTCATAACATCAAGGCCTAACACCTGTCTAGTAGAGTTCAGTAAAAAGCACTACAAGAAATCCACTTGTATACATATATTTATATACACACACATATGTTTGTATTTAAATATATAAATATGTGTGTGTGTCTATATGCATTGTAAAGTGAAAATTGGGAGATGCAAATGCATTTGAACAGGTATCCATCCAGCTTCCTGGTACGGCAGCCTTGCACACTTCATCATGGAGTGACATTTAGTCTCTCCATGCTGAGGTGTTACAAAACAGTGCTAATGCACTGAGACACCCCTCAGCACAACAATTAATGCCCCCTAGTAATGCAGATGTCACATAGCATCTAAACGTGAACCAGGGCCAGTGTACACAGCTAAAACCATGGTAAGATCTCTGCCCCCAAGGAGCTTACAAATATGACTGACGGCATACAGCTGACCAATTCATTTCTATTTTTCTCATCAGTAAGATCAAAGCACTGATCACATCAACAGCCTAATCACTGGGAGGTTTTTGGTAGGTATCACAATGCAATATTCATGAATTCATTATAGTTTGAATGTTACCCAACAGAGCTGATGTAGGCGTTTTACCTTCTGGTTCGAGGAGCCGAGGAACACCCAGCTTATTCTGTGCTATGCTGAAAGCATCCTCCAGGTTTTCTCGTGCTGATTTCTCCAGTGCTTGCTTCATGTCTACCAAAGTGCAGTCTATGGCTTTTATGATGGCTAAGAAAGCAAGGCCACTCCTCCAACTGCTGGTAAAGTCCTGAACTGCAACACCGTACCTAAACAGAATGACATACAGTTTACGGGGGTGGTTGTGTTACGAAAAACAAAGTAAAGGCATAACAATTTTCAAAGACTCCTAAAAGTTAAAACAGAAGGTTGCTGAGTTGTACTTGTCACATTTGAGATATTTTTGGATTTCAAAATGCACGAATACATCCAGAAAACGCACAGATTCACAAACTGGATTGGTGTGGCTAACAGCTGACATGAACCGGCTTGTAGGAAGTAGTTAGTAAAAACAAAGCCCTCAAGAATTCAGCAACCACAATTAACATTCACAAAACCAAATGTCTCTGTGATTCCCATTTCTGTTGCTCTCCAGCATTTTAATGCCATAGCTTGGGAAAACTGCCAAGATTTAAATATTTAAACAAATAAGCATAAATGATTCACATTCCTGTGTATTTGGCCTTCTATAGGAGAAAATTTGCCAAATGCAAATGGTGTCAGCATATCCAGAAACCACTGGTTTATGTTCAAAGTTTTGGAGGGAAAAACAGCCATCAAACTTGCAATGAAATACAGCCCCAGAATAGAAAATTCTGCAGAGATCATGGGATAACAGTTTTATAGTGATGCTATTGTGTTTTTAATAGTGCAGTTGCAGTTTCTCCTATTAGATGTTTTCGATTTGTACTCTTTGACTGGGCTGAAAAGTCTATGGCCTTTACTTCTCAGGTCCTCACTTTCCTTTTATCACCTCCCTGTTAATGATGATATCAGCATTATTTTGGGACTAAAACCATGCTTCCTTTATGGTCTGCGCTGGCAGCAGTGAACTATGGATCTCAATGGAACAACAAACACCCTTAGTTTCACTGGAGATAACCAAGGGATGATGTCCACAGGACCAAGCATTTAAGATCTAAATTTCTGCCTTCAACACTAGATACAGAAATTTGTGTCCAAAGGCAGATTAGGACATACAAATCAACAGATAAAGATGCCAAATATTCATATAACCAACCTGTATAAGTAACTTTGATCCATGCCCTCTTTAAAACTCTCTGCCAGTCATTGCTTCAGATAACAACATATATAAAATACAGTTCAAGCATTTGCATGTGCACCAGATAGCTTACACTACAGTTTTTTTACCTGACAGTAACTCTGACAGGATAAAGCATTACTAGACAAAATGCTTTGGCAAAACAACCACTTTTTTATTAAAGAGGAGAGAGATGTGTTGTGCAATGGAAATGGACTCAAATTTTACAAGTTTGAGAGAAGTGACTTAAGTTTCACCACCTTCCCCCTTGAATTCTGAGGAACGAGGAGGTCTAGTAGGGTCTCTGTCCTTCATGGCACTCTGCAGCACACAGAGAAGCTTCCTCAGGGCTGTTGCTTAATTTAAAAGGCTGTTGATAAAATCTTTCAATACATTTATTTTTTTCAGTTCACCCCTTGTTACACCTAGCCTTTAATTAGCAAAAGATATCGAACAGACTGCACAAAAGCCAGGGGTATGGGGAGGTGGGAATGCTCCTGTTTTAAACAGCATCAAGAAGGTTATTGCAAGTTAACATTTAACACTCAAACTATGAAGCCAGCAGCGGGCTTCAAGGTCAGACAGCTGCTGTAGACACATGGCCATACTCAAACACCCCCTGCAGAGACCCTGCACTTGCAAACTTTGAAAGCAGAAGAAGCCACAGCACACGGTAACAGACCCACAGGGCAGGACAGAGAAAAGAGACTCAGCTTCAAAAGGGCAGGTGGCAAGACACAGTTTTATACAAGAGTTTGCTAGCTTACTTTCTGGTTTTCCTCTGAACCCAGATTAGAAGGGCCCTGATGGCTTTCCGCTGATCCTTCACTGTAATAGACATGTTTCTCTCCACGCTGGGAGTGCTGGGGGATGTGTCTGACTCTGGACCACTGGGCCCAGAGGACAGGCTGGAGGAGGAGGAGTTCCTGTTGAGGTTGCCTGTCAGCTCCTTAATCTGTAATAAAAGGCAAAACATACAGTGCTCTGCTTTATCATGGGCTGCATGGTGCCCTTGTTTACATGCAAACTTGAAAGAGATCAGTGCCGTAACTGAATTTTAAGAGGTAATTAGAGTCCTGTCCACTTTAACTCTTGGCTTGTATTGCACAGGCGTGACAGTCAGCAGCAGCCCAGCTGGCAGCCCCAGGCAACAGAAAGGGCAGGGTACTGTTCAGGCTGAACTGCGGAAATTCCTATTAAACAAAAAGCAAAGAAACATGTCCTCGAAAGAAAAGTTAGTTTAACTGAAATTGTTCTCTTCACAGGAGTTGCTTGCGTGAAATATTTTTAGTCAAAAAGTAATGACTTGCAGCAGCACTCCTGTCCTTGGTCAGCACTGACATTTAAGTCCAAATTATCCTCTCTGGTGCTTTTGGGTCCCCTGTGCCCTCTGCTGCCAGGGTGATAGATCCTGGTCGCAGCATCTTTGCCCCCAAGTCTGCCTGGCCGAACCAGTTCTGTGCAGCACTGCTCAGCCCGAGGAGCTCAGCCAGGGAGAGAAGCCTCTGTGCAAATTCAAGATCATTTTTTTAACCTAACAGCCATTTTTTAAATGAGATCAAGAGAATGAAAGGGCCTCACAGTCTTACAAGAGTTGCAGAATCCTCCCTCCATCTCTCTCTCTGTCCATTAGAATTTGGTATTGTCTAGAAGGTAATTTTCAAACTATGTGTAGATTAGGGCACAGTTTTAATCTAAGTCTGGGGCTAAATCAATTTTCAGGCTCAAATCAGTTTTTTCACTTCCTGGCCCTTCGAGATCTTTCATTCATCAGTTGTGAATTTTTGCCATGTTGAGTAAGTCTCCAGAGATCAGTGATTCTAAATGGAATTTCCCACCACATTGGACCAAATCCAGAAAAGGTTATTGAAAATAAATTGTGACCTGGAACCAAACCCAGGACATTGGTTCAGATCCAGGGAATCTGGAACAGAACCCTGAGAAGGCAAGGAGAGAAAGCAAAGTAGTCATCTGAAGCTCTAATTCAGGTCCAAATCAAATGAGGGTTTAAATTGTCTCCAATTTACACCAAAATAGGTCCAATGAAGTAAAATGAAAGCAGCTGCAAGTATAAAATTAGTGTATATTAGGAGGGTAAAGCTCAGGTTTACTATGATTAATTATGTTCTTTAGGACTAAAAATCAATTTAAAAATCAGTATTCAGCTGGAATTGATTGATACCATGAAGACTGTTCACTTAGGAGTAAAGTATTCAAATTTTATTACCTGAAAAAACAAGATTATATTCCATATTAGTCCAAGAACCAGAGAGGAATTTCCATCCGCTATTTCTGCTGCATCAATGCTGACAAGCTTTACCTGTAAAAGATAAAATAAATCCAGAGCCAAATTCAAAAAAGCAAAGTATATGCAAAAAAATGCACTGAGACTACTGGATATGTCCACAGCACTTCTGCCCCTGACTGGCGGCCAGAAGGCAATACTGAAATCTTGTGTTAAGGATAATTTTCCCTGATGACAAGCACCCTGCTTCTGGAACTCCTATCTGAATGCCCCAGCATAGTCTGCAGTACAAAAGTGAACCCAGTTCTGCATTCCTGGGACCACAAATGCGTTTCCTCCATATAAGAATGGAAGAAGACAGGGCCCACTCCAGTGGATCCCATTCATCTTTCTCACTTCTCATACAAAAATTTAAAATCCTAGTAAGATCTGCTTACTTCTTTTTTGCTATACATTTTGTTCCTCCTTGCTTATCCCACCTTACAGAGCTTGTCACAGAGTTCCGATTAAATCAGTGAGCAAAGGATAGGGTTGCCTAATCCAAGCAAACTCTAGACTTTCCCACAGAGGTTTTTTCCAGCTGATAACACCAGGATGTTATTCTCTTAGACAACACAGACTTGTTTTGGCAAAGGTCACAGGGGAGGGAGGAAACAAGGAAGCTGTCAGTCCTGCACAAGGCACCCAGACTGAGTTAAAGCCCAGCATACAGCCCATTCATCTCAGAGAAACCCCGGACGTGGCAAATCACTCAGCAGTGCTTTGCCCTGCTGCCTCAGCTCCACAGAAGCGTATGCTGACGGGTTCCACTGTGGTTTAATATCTAACCCTGAAGCTCTTGGCAGCCAAGGCATTTTGCCAACACTTTCATCACCACCCTTCACTAACCGGTTTGGTTAAGCTGAAAAAAGGAAAGCAAAATAACTTTTATCTAGTGGTTCGCACAACATTTTCAATCTTAGCAAGAAGACACCTCTAGCTGTCATATCTCAAGGCTCAGATTTCTTGCTAGCTCCAAAGTATTTGGCGTGGGAAAACCTTTAAGACTTGGTGCATTTGAATAGCACTTTCTCCACAATGGGGAGCAAGTGGCTTTTATCATTGGACTGCTCAGTGTGAGCTCTGTCCTCTTACTGCTGCTTACGCTTGTCACTCAGCTCCACAGAAATACCCAGCTTGTAATACCAGCTGCTGGTATTACCCAGCACAAATACTAAGATATTGGCTGCTTACTTTTAAGGGAACAAGAAATCCATAGAAAAGGAGGTTCAGCACTACTAATTAAAAGGCCACCTGTGCTCTAGGCTCCTCTTGCCTGGCCTTGCTCACTGAGGTTCTAGGTTATCCCTTGGTGAGGTCCTGACAACCAGACATGTTTCAGCTGCGGCTCTGCAATGTGCTGGTACCAATAGAGAGAAAAAAAAATCTCATCTGCCAGTGGGTCTTAGCTGGATTTGGGTAGAAAGCATCAACTGGGAAACTGTTAAGAAATATGTGAATATGTAAAATATTTTTTCAGAGTTCTATAGCAGGACATGTAGATGTACACATTTAGGGCCAGATCAGCCTCCACTGATAGATTTTCCATAGGGAGACTGGAACACCTAGAAGTTACTGGACTACTTCTTGACCTTTCACATACCCTCCTGAGGAAAAAGGCAAAGGATGTTAAACCTCCCACATCTCAGAGGTCATAAGAGATGCACTAAGACCTCACATCATGCTCATTCCTGCACTGGGGTTTTCAGCAACTCTCCTGCAGGATCTCTGGAGCAAGAGTTAAGGCTCAGTGCAGGGAAGCAGCAAAGTGGCATTAGTTTTGTATGCGCATTCCATGCAAGGCAGGGTTCTACTCCTGTGCACACACTCCATCTCCCCTAACCCATTAAGATAAACCTTACTGCAGTCCTTTATAGGAAATAGCTCATTTTCTCTTTCTGGAAGATCTAGGTATACCACGTATATGAGTTGTTACATGGCTGGGATTTCTCTTGGCCCCATTACTTCTCAACACTTTTCAAGAGCAGAGAGTTTTCAATACAAAGGCCACTTCAGTAAGGCTTTGGAATAAACCCACATGGGGAGAAATAAAAAAAAGGAATGAGTAATTTCAAGCTACGGGGCCTGATCACTCTTGGTCACTTGCAACTTTAGGAAGTGATGCTGCAGCACTTGCCACACTGACTATGAGGGAAGTTATATCCCCATAAGGCTTTGATTCCTGGAATTATGTATCTATGTCATGTTCCCATATTTCATTTCCTCTTGTCTTTGACTCATTATCAGCTGCTGCAGGAGTCAGTTTACCAGAAAAATACATGATTTGTAATACTCGAAGTAATTCCCACAAAAGAAAGTCACCTACCTTCAGTGTAACTGAAGTAATGCCACTAAGACCCAGCTCATAAAAATTACTTGCATTTCTTTTTATTTTCTTTTAATATTGCGTTCCTGATCCTTTAATCCCATTGAACTTTTACATATAAAATGAACAAATAATCCTTGTTTTAGACTCCATAGGTGTTCTTGTTGTTCATTTTTATGTGGCTTTTCAGCCTTGCTGCTGAAAGGTAAGTCACAGCCTCTTTGAGCAGTACGTTCCTCTTACAAACATGAAGTATATCTGACTAACTACAATGCAACAATTGCAACTTGCAGCACACATCAGGAGAAAAATATTAAGACCAGCCTTTGGAAATACTCACATTACTGTCCTCCAAGAACTTAAGTGCTTTGGCTATGTTGTTCAAACGAAAAATGCGATGGGTTGAAGATTTGTACTCATGCATCTAGATAAAAGAAGAGCCACAGTTTTTAAAATGGTGGAATTATTCAGCAGGTCATACAAAACTTAAAAACCTACAAGCACTGAGGCAAAATAAAGCTAGGGAAATCTATCTATGTAAAATTATTGCCATCTTTTGTGAGCAGTAAAATGCTTCAACTACATGATTGTAGCAAAACAGGGTTAGCAACCAGCTTTCCTGCTCTCCAGATGTTATCACTCTCTTGGACCTGCCACACTGATTATTTATGTAATCATTCCCCAACCATGTTCAGTCACAGGATCATATTTGCCTGAAAATCCATAATAATAGATTTTTTTTTGTCTTGAATTAAATGAATGATCCTAATTAGGAAGCATGAGCAATTTTCATAGCAGGCACAGGCAGGTGGGACCCAAAACCCCTCACTTTGGCAGAAATGAAACAGATTTTGCATGCCTGTCGCCCTGCAATTCCACTTTGGCACACTGTTTTTATCACATGCATACAGAAACACCTAACAATAAGTTTGGCCAGCTGATCTTGCCCCCTTCCCTGACCTCCCCTTCCCTGACCTCCTCCCTGACCGCAGGCATAGCCTATGGTTTACCATGATGTATCTCCCCCTTCAATTCCTTTCCAGCCTGGCTCTCAATGCAATCTGTGTGAAGACACACAGAGACACTGCTGCTTCTGCTACAGCTCTGCAAAACTCCAAGAATATTAAAAAATAGGTGGTTCTGAATGTGTGACCACCATTCCTGCTGCAGAAAGCAGGTGGTCAGCCACTAGGGCATCACCAGTGCATCTGCAGGGTGGACATGGCTGCAAAATGGGCCCCTCCTCTTGCCCAAGTGTGATACCCACACAGAGGAGAGTTCTTGCTGACAAGATTGCTGGAGAGAGAAACCATTAAAGTCAACTGTAACTGGGCTTTTATATTTGCACTGGGTGTTCCATTTCTAGCATGCGGAACTTTACATAGCTCTTACAAAAAAGGGAGGAGAGAAAAAGGTTCTGATTAGTGAACCTTTGCCCTGCTGATTTAGACCATATTAGTAAGACTAATGAAAACTGAGTCAGGATACCAGAGCTAAACTCACACCTACAGCAAGCATCAGCAGACATACTGAGTGTCATAATGATCTCAGACAAAATAGAAACTGAACTGGTGGATTGAAAAAAAAAATACAGTAAATATGTGTTTTCTTGATAATGTGACTTGGGTGATCTCCAAATGGAATATGTAAGCATTATTGTATTAAAGTCTTAAAAACCCTGAGGGGTAGGAACATTAACACTGATCACACACCATTTACACCTCATTGTTATGTATTTCCTTGAAAACTTACAGCTCAGGACACCAGCCTGTAACATAAGGAAATTACAACAAAGCCACTGAAATTCTTATTACTATACCCAAGATGTGGCACCAAATGCACCCTTACTCCTTGCATATCCATATATTGTTGCTCATAACATACCAAGCTCCATTCCTATGGAGGTTTCTCCCTCTCTTTACATACCAACTTTTGTCCTGACAGGACTTCCAGGAGCGCCATCAAGATTTTGCCATCTTGTATATCTATAAACAAGTCTTTCACTTTCAAAGGAGGCTTGCACTGTGAAGAAAAGAAACCAAATAGCTTTTAAAGCAGTACTGTTTGATAAGTCACCATGATTTCAGAGAATCAGAAGGAGAATTTTACAAAACAGAGATATTAGAAGTAAATCATAGCCTGCAGGAAGAAAGAGCTGACTATTCCTCACATCAGTGGCAATTTTGTCCTAGGAATGTTGGAGCTAAAACTGAGATACAGAATTGTAATTGAGATCAGACAAGGACTAATTCCAGATTTCCCATAACAGAATCTAACACTAAATACTCTGCTAAGAAGTGACCACCCAAGGGTTGGGTGCTGATCCCTCAGACTAAAACAAGTCCACCAGAAGCAAATACCACTTTATAGAGAAATAAGCCTGTGATCCAGCCAACCACAATGTCCTGCCTCCTCTGAAAGGTTTCTGGTGTGCCATTCTGCTTCCCCGTATTTTCTAAGTACTTTAAACAGCAACTTCTTGTATTGTGTCTCTTCTCAGCAAACTCCTCCAAAGGGAACCTCGTCCTCACCTCACTGAGGTGCTGGATGATTTGCTCTGTTGGATGAGGCACACAGCCAAATCAGCTCAGCCCTTAGGGGTAGTCTTAGCTGCAGCAATTACACTCTCTTCAGGTGTCACTCACTCACGTGTCCCTAAAGAGCTCAATCTTTTTATCTTTGGATGGGCAACACACTACTGTTCCATTAAGCACTAATCTTGGCAAACTGGGACCACACATTTTCACTACTGGTCCCTAATCTAGCCAAGAGTACTAAACAATGCTCCATGAAAGAAAGCAAGATATCATTCATTTTGAAATTAAATAACCTATCTGAAAGCCTCAAACCCAAACCTTTTCTATTCTTTCAGTACTTAAGGTAAGAACAAACAGAACTCAGAAGTGCAAATTATTCCCAATTATCCCATGACCAGCAGAGCCAGATCCTCTCAAAAGATGACCCAAGTGGGATGGTCTGCTCCAAAAGGAGACACACCACACCTTAAGTTTCCTGAGGAAGTATAAGAAGACTTCATTGCTGCCTCTGAAAGCAAGAAGCCACTCTGCAAGAAGTGCTTCTTTAAGGAGAAAGGCAGAAGCCACCTTTCTCAGTGAGTGTCCTCAGGGAATCACCTGTAACTAGAGACAGCTTTGATGAAGCTCTCATTATTTACATTGGTATGTTGATTATGCCACTTCCAGGAAAAACATTAATATACCAGAAGACTTTTGCCCTTTCTCCAGAAAGGCATTTTGCTTTGTTGAGTCAGAGAGAAAAAAAATTTGTATGCACTCCAGAGAAAGCTGACCTGCCCGCAGAGGTTCTAAGTCTTCATATGCTTGGCACAGCAGAATTAACAGCACCCTACAGCCTTTTTCATTATCTAATTCCTTCTGTAAATCAAAGACCTCCTCTACAGTCACATATTTGACAACCCTTTCTGACAAGTTCCAAAACTGCAGTTAGTTTAAAGCCCTAGAGCCTGATTCACAAAGGCATCACATAACACTGTCTTCGTTCTGAGAGGCCTTTGGGAGCAATTGCTAGTCAAAACATTTCTAGCTAGCCTTATTCTGATTTTCCAGTGAGTTTTAAGAGGATCCCTTTATGCCTTCAGCAACACTCACTGTAGAATAGTGGACTTAAGCAACTATTTATGTGATATCTTTCTTCTAAAATCCCTTTACTTTACTGTGTCTGAAATGCAATCACTTCCCAAGAACTACAGAAGCTAAACTTATAGTCAGTTTGTGGCCCAAACTTAGACCCAGTCCATTCTTTTTGAAATTTAGCCATGGATACTAAAGCATTGTGAAGCTCAAACACCAGTCCAACTTAAGATTTGTCTAGATCAGGAGATGGTCTCGTTTCTTGATCCTGCACTAAGCATTACTACTGTCTCAGTAATATTAAGATCTTTTTTTTCTCTGTTCGACAAAAACAGCAGGAAAAAGGTTCTCAGCATGACAGACCACTCAGGAGAGTTAGTACTTATCTGCTATCAGTAAGAACAGTAAATTAGGTTTAATAGCCATATTATGCTGTGATTAAGAAACAACTACAGCTTAAAGATATGAAGGGATGTCTAAAACTTAGTTCTCTGATGTAAGTGGATATGTGAAGATCCCATCATACTGCCCCTCACAACATGGCTGACAAGGAATTAATGTTTTCCATCTTCACCTCTGGGATGAAGACGGGTTCTGAAGAACATCTTCTTTGGCCATAATGCCTCAGATGTTCAAACTTGCAGTCCAGGGAAGAACACAGACATCATCACCACAGCAGCCTCAACCACATTTGATTTTACATGGGCGCATTCTATGGGAAAATTATACCCTCATGGTAACAGTCATTAACATTAAAGACTTTAATGCACTTAAGATGAACTGAAGCTACCCAAGCATTGACTGTGCCTGAAAACAAATTTTAATTTAGCCAGAAACAGGCTTTAGCTTTCCCTCATCCTCCTCTAAATGTCTCCACATGCACAAAAGTCAACTTTGTTTCCAAATTTTACCTCCTTTAAAAGGAGTTAACTGCAATCTGTCTATGGCCATATCCTTGTATCCCAATATCAAGACCGTCAGTCTTACCTTTCCCAAATGCAGGTTTATCCATCTGGTAAAGGTCCTCTTCTGTACATTTTCCCGTTCAACTAGGAATATCAGAAACAAAAAACAGCACTTAAGTTTCCAGAAAAGGGAAAGTTGGTAGGAAATTTCAGAAACTGATACACAAAACAGAATTCATGAGAGCCCTGTGAATAAAACAAATACATTCCAAACTAGGAGACATAAGTTTGAGCTACAGTGTTTTATTCAATTTCTTTGCCCAGACATGAGCTATACACTTCTAGATGCATTTTTAAAGGCAAGAGGAAGGAATCTCTCTTAGTTTTGCAGTCTTTAATGCTCAGCTTCTGAGAGGTGAACATTTATTTATGTGCTGTGCACAGCTCTCCAGTGATGTCACCCTCTGAGCAGGCAGCTTGACCTTTCTATGAGAATTTATAGGATTATTGCTCTGACACCCTTGTGCAAATTGGGCTGGCATAGATTCCAATATACTCACTTGCATGCACAAGGAAACAGGACCAACACAACAATTTTGTCTTATTTCTTATGAATGGAAAAGCCTCATCAAATCTCATCTTCCCAGTCTCCTAACCAGTACATTTAAAATCAAAATTCCAAGTCCCTAGATTGAAGAATCATTTCATTTATATTGCAATAAGACGAGGAGTGCTTGTTTCTTGCCAGAAGTGCTGTATGCTAGGTGCTGTACAAACAGCTCTCAGGCCAGCTGAAGAGTTTTTAATGACATCTGCCATTTCCTGAATCCATTTCCATAGTGAACTACAGCAAAAGTGCAAGGGGAATCATATTACTGACCAGCTTTCATTTACCTTCTAATATAAAAAAGTAAACCATATATTTAATATAAATGAAGTAGACTGTGAAAGTAATATTTCATTTTAAAGACAATTATTCTCTAGAGGTTCTCAAGTTTCACTTGAATTAAGGAAATCTGGCAATTTATGAACAAAACCCATTAAAACTAGTTATATGCTGTATTTCAATTTACTCATAGAGTATATCAAATATATTTTAAAACCATTTTGTGTTTCTTCAGCTCTACAAAAACAGCTAACCCATCTACTGGGAAATCACATTCTGTAAAAGTCTGGTTTGTTTTTATTGGTCAGACTGATTATAGGCCAAGCAGTAGCTTCTGTAAATCAAATTTTAATATTGTTCTTTTTGATCATTTTAACTGAAGGGTCAGCAGCCTCTAATCATATGTATAATTATTTTCCTTATTTTTATGCATTGGAATAGAGCTTTCAGCATGAAGCACATCTGTCACTTTTAAGTCCCCTTATTCCATAAAACCTGATTTTATATAAGATTGGTTAAAAAAAGTCATTACCCCTTAAGTGCTTCAGAAAACATGGAAAATGCCAAACTAATTATTGCTGTTGGCTTTTCTTTTAAAATGTCTTAGAAGAATGTGCACAGATTTGAAACAGCTCTCTACAAAAGAAACTGTAAATTATATTAGGATTCCAGAGTATCTGTAAAACACCCACAGCATTTACCACCTACAAATCCCAAAGTAGAACAAACTGAGAGATATGTCACATATTTCTTGGGCTTCCCTTCCTTCAGCACCTTGACCCCAGAACTGGTTTTCCATGCACTCCCACAGCCAAGGCTGAACAGAAGTGCTACGTGTCACCCAGGGTGTAACTTCCACAATGGATCTGCTAAAATTAACCTTTGAGGGTGGGCGGAGGTTAATGTTAAGCCAGAACTTCTCCCAGATATACTCCTTTCTGTTCAAATACAGGTGTTGGTGCAAAGGGGACGGCAGAACAGACACAGGAGCTAGCAGCAGGCAATGGGGCCACCTCTTGAACTTGTCTGAAATGCTCAGGAATGCTTGGATGGGCATCAGTGCCAGGCTTTGGGAAGGAAAGGAGACCTTATCAAAAGGGCTGGATATACAGACTTCCAATGTCAACCAAAATCAAAGAGGAAACACAGAGGGTACACAGAAGCTTTCTGGTATCATCAGAGGCTTGGTTTCTTGTCCTGTTTTTCACCAGTCACTTTGACAACCTTCATTTTCACAGTAAATAAGGATGCAAAAGAGAGCTGTGTTTATTTACAGATCATCCATAAACCTGAGCATACATTGGCTCCTAAGTTGACTGCAGAAATTCTGCCATGATGCAAATTAGGAGTTGCACATATGCCTTAAAGGATGGGTGAGCCAAGCTGGTATTACTGCTCCAAGAAGCTCACACACCAAAAAAAAAAAAAAAAAAAGGCACTTTCAGGAAAGCACTTGCATATATGAACAGATTTCTGAGATTAATCACTGAACATTTCTATGGCAAACAGCCTCTTTCCAGGAAGAGCGATGACTCCAGAATGGGCACTATTTAATTCTGTAATAGTCTAAAGCAACAGTAACTGGACGGGAAGAGGAAAAGGGAGGAAATGTGTTTATAAAACCCCTAAGGTAGACAAACCTCTAATGCAGTCCATATGCTCAATGGCAGAGCTAATGGGAAAAATTCAGCACAGGTATTTACTGATGTGTGTGTTTAACTGCTATTCTTCTCCAGCTTTGTGGACCTCCCAGTTTCAGTACAGCCTCTCTTGTCCACAACCTTTTCATTTCAGATGATTGTAGAGACTCTATAAACTTTATACAGTTTCTATAAATTAAATTTTTTTTCTCCTTCACACCTACTATTATATAAAAGTGAAGAAAATCATTCAAGTCTAAAGTTCCTATGCTTGTATATATAGTTTACTGAAACTGCACTGTGTTTACTGGGCAGCTAGAGAGCAATAACACCATTATAAAATAATTACACCCACATATAGCTGACCTGCACACAAATACCATGCTGGAAAAGAAAAATTCTTGCTGTGAGGGTTGGATTGAAAGATCTAATGCTGGAAGGAAGTAGAAGTTAGGAATTGCCATTTTGATTCAGCTCATACCTTGACATAAGAGAAAAATTACACAGGGAAATTTTGACCACCACACAGAAGCTGGGTCTTACATACTCTTCCAATAAGCTAAAGTGTAACTTCTTTTCACAGAAGGGTTGAAGACATTGCAGAGGCACAGTATTTATATCAAAGTGCACATGTAAGTCACTGACAGGCATTAGCTGCAATAATTTAGAGGGGAAGAAACCCCTAGAGAAGGAAAGGTGTGCTGTTAGGACGATGAACCTATTCTATGACCCACACAGTTCTTTGCCCAACACTGTGTCCTAGAGGACAGGAATTTGGCAGAATTTGGCCCAGTATCTGTACCTTAGTAAGTCTGCAAATACATATTCACAAAGATACACCGCTTTGTCAAGTCTTACGGCAAAGGCAACTAATTTGTCAAAGACTAAAACTAAGCTATTTCAAAAACCACTTGGGCAGAATTTAAGGTTAAGCTGCTGCTGCACAAGGGAGTTCAGCTCCTTTCCTGTGTGGTACTATTTTCTTCCCCATCAGTCTAGAAATTCCTCAGGCATTTACTAATGCCATTTCTTCCTCTCTCAAATCTCCTCAAAGGTCATTACTGTTGCGTCACCTACAGGAAGCCAATCCCTAACAGCCTCTACATTCAACAGCAAATTTGAGATAGCAAATATTGATTTGCTTCTAAATACTATTTATTCTGTTGTTGTAGAACCAGTTATGAATAATCCTCTGAGGCACACCATGGTGGGGCTGGGCACATCAAGGAACTACGAAACATGCAAGTTGATTTGAGTGGAACACTTGTCAGTGTGTAATTACATAGCTTCAGAAAACTGCTTGATTTGCATGTATGGATATTACTCCCAAAGCAAAGCAGAAGGACACTTAAATTTGCTTCCAAACCTATTAGCATTTCATCTAGGATATCATCATCAGATGACGTTAAAACCTTCACAACAGGCCAAGCTGGCTTTTAGATCCACTTGCAACTTACCTTCTGGACATCTTGCTAAGTACCAGTTTTATAATATGCACAAAAGCCAGCTTCCTTGTTTCTACCACAATTTACAACCTCTATAGATACAATATATACCTGTTATTAACAAGAAGTAAGTTTTCAAGATGGAAATGATGGTGTTGGCCACCTAACTGTGACAGAGGATGCTTTAACTGCCCTTGGCTTCAGAGGCCCATATTCACTTCATAAGTAACCAGTGGCTGCCACAGAACCAGCTCATAACGTGCATGGCTCTGGAGGCATTCCAGCATTTGCCAAAGTCTTTGATCTGAAGGAAATGGCATTTCTTATTACACAACAAAAATATATGGGAAAATGTATGATAATTAAATACTACAGCCTAACTCCAAAGTGGAATACAGTTCAGACACCCTAAGTCTTGGGAAATGCGAATTCCTCTCCTTCTGCCTTCCTCACCCCCAAACCCTCATTCACACAGTTAAGCAATCAATCAGCTTCTAGTGAACACAGGCTAAACAATCTACTTTTGAACTCCAGGCTAATAAATAAAACAAGAACTGGATTTTAAACTTGGCTTCATAGTATTCCTGCACTGTGACTCAGCCTAGGTATTTCTGATTACTAGGCAACATACTATCAAACTCGAATACTCTTTTCTCTGCAAACAATGCTTATGAAGGAAGCCAGACTGACATCTTAGAAAATTGATTTTACCTAAAACTGCTTATTTGCGATGAAGAGAAATGCAAGTAACTGCTTGCAGGCAAATAAAGGCCATGCCATTAGTTACAGTAAGTGGTCAGGCATAGATACAGGATGTTGATGCCAGATACCAGATACTGTATCTGACAACTGTAAGGAAGCACAGATCCTTGTCCGGGAGACCTTCTACTGTTCAAACACTACACATGGGACAAAGTTCAAATGCAAACACCAAAGACAGGGCACATGCAAGCAACACATCTGACATGGGAAGGCTGATTAAAGGTGTGCTGTAAGAAAAACAAAAGGGGGGTGAGCAAGGGAGACTGGGGGGGGGGGGGGTAGCAACTGACAGCAAAATAACTGGAGAGTAGAAGATTAAATGTGTAAATTAGGGCAGGGAAAAGTGCAATTAAATTTTTTTGTTTCATCTCAACACAGAGTTACATTAAACATGTTGAATCCTCAGAGACT